TAAATATTGTGGTAAGCCTCATGATTTATTTTTATCTACCCAAATCAGTGTCTTGTTAGTGATCCTCTGAGGATACTGGACTTAAACTGGATCCATGATCCATGGGGAACTGGGTTTCAAACCCCAGGAGAGCCTTAATATCCATTTGGCATTTGAAATGGCTAAGGCCTAGCTGGGCATGGTGGCTCACGCCTATAATCCCAGCACTTTGGGAGGCCAAGACAGGCAGATCGCTTGAGCCCAGGAGTTTGAGACCAGCCTAGGCAACACAGTGAGATTCTCGTCTCTACAAAAAGTCATAAAATTAGCTGGGCATGGTGGCATGTGCCTGTGATCCCAGCTACTCAGGAAGCTGAGGTAAGAGGATCACATGAGCACAGGGAGGTCAAGGCTGCAGTAAGCTGTGATCCCACCACTCCACTCCAGCTCGGGTGACAGAGCCAGACCCTGTCTCAAAAAAAAGAAAAGAAATGGCTCGGGCTGAACATAGGGAAACGCCCCCAAGGCTGGAGCTGATCTAATTTAAATCGGTTTTGTTTCTATAGTCTCAGGCTGCCTAAGGCTAATGAGGAATGAGGGAACCTCAGCTTTTGCCACACACACAACTACTCAGGGCTAGCAAAAAAAAAAAAATATATATATATATACACACACACACACACACACATACACACACACATATACACATGTATGTGTATATATATATTTATATTTCCCACTGTTGTCAAATGTTTAGATGGCCCACAGGTTGTTTGTCTAACAACTTGATGTTTGCCCAGATTGACTGAAGATAATGAGTTTTAGTGAGGATGCTCCTTAGGCCTGGCAACTACTCTACAAAATCAGATCACAGAAGCTTGTGAAAAACTCAGTATTTCCTAAGTAGCATGGCCTCCCAACTCAAAATGCTTTTATTTCTTTTTTTTTTTTTTTTTTTTTTTTTGAGACGGAGTCTCGCTCTGTCGCCCAGGCTGGAGTGCAGTGGCGCAATCTCGGCTCACTGCAAGCTCCGCCTCCCGGGTTCACGTCATTCTCCTGCCTCAGCCTCCCGAGTAGCTGGGACTACAGGCGCCCGCCACCTCGCCCTGCTAGTTTTTTGTATTTTTTAGTAGAGACGGGGTTTCACCATATTAGCCAGGATGGTCTCGATCTCCTGACCTCGTGATCCGCCCGTTTCGGCCTCCCAAAGTGCTGGGATTACAGGCTTGAGCCACCGCGCCCGGCCTTTATTTCTTTAAATATTTATAATCTGGATCTAAAATCAACAAAACTCAACCCACAGTCATTCTTATTTCCTTTACGTGTTGATATTTTCCACCACATCACAGGGGACTGCTGCCCAGGGTTTATAAGAAGGTCATTTGAATTGCTTTATAGCTAAAAACCACCTTAGGGATTAACTATGGGGCCTCCTATTAATCTTGTATTTATGTGTTGTTAACATTGGTTCTGGGTTCCTTACGATTTTTGAATTTTTTTTTTTTTTTTTTTTTTGAGATGGAGTCTCACTCTGTCGCCTAGGCTAGAGTGCAGTGGCGCAATCCCAGCTCACTGCAAGCTCCGCCTCTCGGGTTCACGCCATTTTCCTGCCTCAGCCTCCTGAGTAGCTGGGACTACAGACACCCGCCACCTCGCCCAGCTAGTTTTTTTTTTTGTATTTTTTAGTAGAGACGGGTTTTCACTGTGTTAGCCAGATGGTCTCGATCTCCTGACCTCATGATCCACCCGCCTCGGCCTCCCAAAGTGCTGGGATTATAGGTGTGAGACATCGCGCCCAGCCCAATTTTTGAATTTAAATGGTTTCTTCTAGTTGGTGATTCTGCTCCAACCCATAATTTCTCTGAAGATGCTGAGAATTAATTTATCTGCTGTGTTTGTAACCCAAAATAAAAGCAAAGATAAGAACAAAGGAGTTGAAACATCTGGGACCCTGGAGATACCTGTGGACCAACACTAATTCAGCAGCACTCCCATTCTGCTCAGACAGAGCTAGATAATAAGCTATGCTGATACATGAGGCATTCACAGTGGCACAGTTGCTCAGAGTGACAGTCATCCCTTGGTAGAAAATGTTTTAATATAAAAACTTAATAGATGTCATGGCAATTTTCTTTGGGAATAAATTGGTCTCTGAATCATACTCTAAAAACATAAAGGAAAAATGACTAATAGTTCAGCACAAAATGAAAACCTGTGGTTGCCTAAGAGGTATCAGTGTGCATTTAGCAATTTCTTCTTTTTCTAGGTGAATATGTACGTCAGGTCCACAAGACAAATGGTGGCTGTTGCCAGGCTTTCTTCCCATTGCTACTCAAGATTTGCTCCTCAGAAAAAGAAATAAGTGGCATTTCACCAATATGGAAATGTTTCTAATAGAATATAAAAATCCATTAAGCAATTTTCCAGTACATTAGGCTAAAAGTGCTTAAAACGAGTATCTCTGTGACAATTAAACATCACATAATTTGCAGTTGCATAAACCCCTATGTAGAAAGTGCTAGAAGAATTTGGACTTTTTTTTTTTTTTTTTTTTTTTTGAGACGGAGTCTCGCTCTGTTGCCCAGGCTGGAGTGCAGTGGCCAGATCTCAGTTCACTGTAAGTTCCGCTTCCCAGGTTTACGCCATTCTCCTACCTCAGCCTCCCGAGTAGCTGGGACTATAGGCTCCCGCCACCACGCCCGGCTAGTTTTTTGTATTTTTTTAGTAGAGACAGGGTTTCACCGTGTTAGCCAGGATGGTCTCGATCTCTTGACCTCGTGATCCGCCCGTCTCGGCCTCCCAAAGTGCTGGGAATACAGGCTTGAGCCACCGCGCCTGGCCGCCTTGGCCTATTTTAGTCATTAATTTTGTACTCGCTTCCACATGTGACCTGGTACAGTCAAGGCCACTTCTCAATTATCTGGGAGAGGATCTCCTAATTTGAGGATCACTCAAGCTTTCATTAAGAGTCATTCTTTTGAGCAGTTTGTATAGACTCAGAATGAGAAAGCCAAGCAACCAGTTTTCCTGATAGCCAGCTTTAACAAAGCATGTGTGGTTTGAGAATCTTGACTCTAGATAAAAATGACAAGTTATTATTTAAAGAGAAGTACTGATAACTTCTTGTCTACTTCTCTGTTTCCAACCTTTATTGATTTATAGATTTCAAAGACCATGACTCTTAGGCAGCATAAAAATGTGGAAATCTGTATGCAGAGGCTCATTCCAGCATTTTGGGAGGCCAAGGCAGGAGTATCGCTTGAGATCAGGAGTTCAAGACCACCTGGGCAACACAGTGAGACCCACATTTCTACAACAAAAATACATACATTTTAAGAAAGTGAACATGAAGGCCGAGCACAGTGGCTCATGCCTGTAATCCCAGCACTTTTGGGAAGCCAAGGTGGGAGGACTGCTTGAGCCCAGGAGTTGGAGACTAGCCTGGGCAACAAAGTGAAACCTCATCTCTGCAAAAAAATCAAAAAATAAGCCAGACGTGGTGCTGTGTGCCTCTGTTCTCTGCTATACAGAAGGCTGAGGCAGGATTGTGTAAGCCCAGGATGTGCTACAGTGATTGCACCACTGCAACTCAAGCCTGGGAGACAGAGTAAGACTCTGTCTCAGAAAACAAACAAAAAAACCAGTGGAAATGCTCACATTGAGAAGCTACTTTTTTTTTTTTTTGAGACGGAGTCATGCACTGTTGCCCAGGCTGGAGTGCCGCTGCGCGATCTCGGCTCACTGCAAGCTCCACCTCCCGGGTTCACGCCATTCTCCTGCCTCAGCCTCCCGAGTAGCTGGGATTATAAGCACCTGCCACCACGCCCGGCTAATTTTTTGTATTTTTAGTAGAGACGGGGTTTCACGGTGTTAGCCAGGATGATCTCTATCTCCTGACCTCATGATCCACCTGCCTCGGCCTCCCAAAGTGCTGGGATTACAGGAGTTGTAGCAGGACGAGCTGCAGACAAAACCTCTCAGACACCAAGTTGTAGAAGGAAGAGCTTTATTCAGCTGGGAGCATCGCCAAGCTACTGCCTTAAAATCCAAGCTCCCTTGAGTGCACAATTTCTGTCCCTTTTAAGGGCTCACAACACTAAAGATTTCACATGAAAGGGTCGTGATTGATTTGAGCAAGCAAGGGGTATGTGACAGGGGTTGCATGCACCGGTTGTCAGAGAGAAACAAAACAGGACCGGGAGTTTCACTATGTTCTTTTATACAATGCCTGGAATCTATGAATAATATCGGTTTCTAAGTTATGAGTTGATTTTTAACTACTGGGTTTAGGCCAGGCAGGTCCAGGCCTGGTTTTGGGCCTGGCACCGTGCTGCTTGTCTTTGGTTTTACTTCTTTGTTTTTTTCTTAGAACAGGTACTGAGTATAAAACAATATAAAACAATATGAGAGGATCTCTCTCTTTCCTCATTCCACCCTTTTGAGACTCTCACTTTTTATTAGTGGGAGTTCTCACTCTTATTTTTCCTAGTTATGTCTTTTTATGCAGTAGATTGATAGTGATTCATGTAGTATACTTGTGCTGAAGCATTTTGATGAACTAAGGTAGCAATGAAGCTCTTTTTATCATTTGAAGAAGTACAGTTAGCAAACAAGGGAGCAGTAAGCAGGTTCTTCTTATTATTATAACTTTTATTATAAGAGTTTTAAATCCTCCTAGTGCTGGGAACTAATTTTTAAACATGGGTTCAGGGTCTGAGGGGTTTGTGATTAACAATTCTAAAGGGTTGCAGCTCCCACTCATGCAGGAGGGGCTGACTTTTCCTTTCTGGAGCCAAACAGGATCTTTTTTATTTTTTATATATATTTTTTAAGTAGCCCAAATGACACAAGACCAGTATTGACACATTTCACCTAAATTTGATTCTTGACAGCTGTATTTATTTTTTTGCCGTGTAACTTTTTTCTTAATCTAGAGAACTGCATCCCATTCCATGCTGCTTATTACTAACAGCAGTACCTGTGTTAAATTTTAAGGTTACATTTTTGGGGATCCCTCTTTCTTCTGTTCTAGCTATTACTTTACTTGTGTCACTTAGAAAAGGACCAGTCCTTAGTCTTATTTTAAAAACTGTGATCATGGGAGGCTTAAAATGAGTTATAACACGCATCAGGTTGGTTATTTCCTGGGCTACATACCTTGGATAGAATATCATTATACAAACAAGTTTCTTTTAGAGTCCTGGTACACTTATAATAACTATAAAATAATAGGACTGTAGCAATCTTTTGTCCTACCTCAGAGACTTGATGTCTTAGGAAGGAACAGCCCTCAGTCTTAGGAAGGTCAGTTGAAGTCCTTACAGTACAAGTCCAAATTTTAAGGAAAATGAATCCCATGATGAGTTTCCTCATGCTTCAGCCGTGCGTGGATCAGTCAGCTTCAGGGTGTGACTGGAGCAGGGCTTGTCTTTTTCAGAGTCACTTTGCAGGGGTTAGCAAAGCTGCTCCCATCCACGTACAGCTCCCAGTCTACAGATGTTTAAGGATGGTCTCAGAGGTTAGGCCCACTAGAATAAACTGAGTCCAATACTTTTACACAGTTATGTTTAACTGGGCTCTTTGATACCAGGAGCAAGGTGGCGGGTTTACAGTGTTGTAAACTTTAATGGTTATGCAGGGATTTTTTACAGAGCAAGCTTTGGTATCTAGATAGTCTAGCATTTATTAGCTAATGGTGTCCTTTGGTATTTATTAAAATCACCACAGCATGAGGGGACTTTATGTTTAGGTTTTGCCTAAGAGTTAGCTTATCTGCTTCTTGTGCTAATGGGGCCATTGCTGCCAGGGCCCTTGGACATGGGGACCAGTCTTTGGAAACCCTGTCTAGCTGTTTTGAGAGATGGGCTGCTGGCCTTGGCCAGGGCCCTACAGTGTGGGTTAAAACTCCAACTGCCATTTGTTTTTTTTTTTTTGACTTATAGAGTGTAAAGAGTTTTGTCAGGTCAAGTAGCCTCAGGGCTGGGGCCGACGTTGAGTTTTTCTTTTTTAACTCATGAAAAGCTTGTTGCTGCTGGTTGTAATAGATGTAGTTTATCTAATTTATATTTTTATTGACTGTCATTTACTAAAATATTGATTTAAATCCTGTAACTATTTGATTTCGAGCTTTAAATTGATCTGGTATTTCTTGTGGTTAATTTCAAGGTTAAATTGATCTGGTGTTTCTCCAATTGCATCTAAATAGATGTGAGAGTTGAAAGACCTATAAGGGGCTTCTCTCACTTTATGATGTCTTATTATTATTATTATTATTTTCTGGTTGAGGAAATGCCAGGGTGAAAGGGATAGCCAAATGGACTAAAGCACAAGTGTCACTCTAGTTATTTGGCAGAGTGCCCAGTAAAGGTCCACCACAATACCACCACACATCTGCTTAGGGATGCACAAGGGCTGACTGATTGATAAGCTCTTAAAAATTCTTAAGCTCACTGCATCCCTTCAGGTCTCCAAGGAATACTGTCTCCTCCTTGCCATGAGAGACACAAAGTGAACTTAGTGTTGGGAGATGGAAGCTGGATGGCCCTCGGGGACTGATCTGCAGGGACTTTGGGATATAGCAGAGAGAGCTTGGCATGACTTATTACTCCAGGCTGTAGAATCCTGGAAAAGAGCTACCATGTAGCCCATGCCTGGTTGACTGGAGGACCACCCTAGTGGAAGGGTGACAATCAGGGCCTCTGGCCTGCCATGTGCACAAGCATAACAATTGCTTTTGTTTAACGTGCAGATGGAATATTTGATCCATTTCAACCAGGCATTTACATCTTGGTATGCTGTCTTAATTGCCAAAGTTTGTTTTAAGTCTTTAACTTCTATGATCTTCTAGTAAAATGAATGTTTTCTTTAGCACCTTTTTTTATTAGTTTTTAGACCAAAAACAACTAACCACCATTTTATGTTTAACAATGCTTTTTGTATGATTTTTATACCAGATAAGCTAAAATTTACCTTTATATTAGTGTGCTATTAATTTTAATAAAACCCTGTAGACATATTTATCCAATTTTTCATGTTTGACCATAAGGTAAGATTTTATAGACTCTTTTTAACCTTTTAGAATTTTTGTTAAAGAGCAGGTTGATGTTTTAAGAAAAACCTGTTGCATTATAAATGTCCAGTTCACAGAAAAACTGGATACCTTTTTAACTCTAGCTATTATGTTTACACACAGAATTTTCTTTACAATTAATGTTTTAAAATTTGCCTAAACTTTCAAAACAATAATTTTTGACCTTTTAATGTAGGTAAAAATCCACATTCTTATGCCTCTTTATAATCTTTTTACTAAAGGTATTTTTTTAAATACACTTTGCACATAAACTCTTTTTTCTAATAGTACTCAGGAGGCCATATTATTTTAAAATTATACGACATTTTTTGCATAAAAATTTTTTATAACATTTTTTTCTTTTACGACTTTCGCAATTTTTTTTTGACATGTCTCAACTTTCTGACTTATCACAAACTTTTTTAAAAAAAAGTAACCAGTTATTTCAGGACAAGAATTTACCATATAACATTCTTTTTATGTAAATTCTGCCTCCCTTTTTTCCTTTCTTGAAAGTTTTCAACATAGTTCTCAGTGGGGTGGGCTTATTTTGCACCTGACCCATGTTTTCTCAAGATAAAATACCACACTCACACCACATTCACCACAAAACATAGAACGGGTAAAGAGGGCACACACACACACACACTTTTATCGTTTATACCAAACCAAAATCAGAATACCACGAAATTCAAAATCCGAGTACCAAGAAATTTAAGCCAAGTCAAAACCAAAACCAAAGTATCCGGCAATTTAAGTCAAGACAAAACCAGAACAAAAGTGCCAATATAGGCACACCATGGGTGATTAGGCCACGCTTCCACTCAAATGGAGTGGGGCAAGTTCCAAAGACTAGTCTTACAGTCTTACCAAGTTTCAGATGTCCGGACTCCAAGTGCCAGTTCCTTCCCGGTGTTCAGCTACTGTGTTAATCCTCTGTGGGGGCCTGCTACGCACTGCTCTGATGAGGTGTTCTACCAGGAAAACTGCCTACCTGGGAGCACTCTGGTTCGCGTCACTCAGGCTGGCCAGAGTCCTCCGCAGGGATGCTCCACAGAGCAGGCCTAAGCCGCCTAACAGGCTGCCTCAGCTGTCCATCAGTTACCTCGCTTCCCGGTCAGGGAACCAAGAACTGTAGCGGGACGAGCTGCAGACAAAACCTCTCAGACACCAAGTTGTAGAAGGAAGGGCTTTATTCAGCTGGGAGCATCAGCAAGCTACTGCCTTAAAATCCAAACTCCGAGTGCACAATTTCTGTCCCTTTTAAGGGCTCACAACACTAAAGATTTCTTTTTTTTTTTTTTTTGAGACGGAGTCTCGCTCTGTCGCCCAGGCTGGAGTGCAGTGGCCGGATCTCAGCTCACTGCAAGCTCCGCCTCCCGGGTTTACGCCATTCTCCTGCCTCAGCCTCCCGAGTAGCTGGGACTACAGGCACCCGCCACCTCGCCCAGCTAGTCTTTTGTGTTTTTTAGTAGAGATGGGGTTTCACTGTGTTAGCCAGGATGGTCTCGATCTCCTGACCTAGTGATCCACCCGTCTTGGCCTCCCAAAGTGCTGGGATTACAGGCTTGAGCCACCGTGCCCGGCCAACACTAAAGATTTCACATGAAAGGGCCATGATTGATTTGAGCAAGCAAGGGGTACGTGACAGGGTTTGCATGCACCGGTTGTCAGAGAGAAACAAAACAGGACCGGGAGTTTCACTATGTTCTTTTATACAATGCGTGGAATCTATGAATAATATCGGTTTTTAAGTTATGAGTTGATTTTTAACTACTGGGTTTAGGCCAGGCAGGCCCAGGCCTGGTTGTGGGCCTGGCACTGGGCTGCCTGTCTTTGGTTTTACTTCTTTGTTTTTTTCTTAAAACAGGTACTGAGCATAAAACAATATAAAACAACATGAGAGGGTCTCTCGCTTTCCTCAGCGTTGAGCCACTGCGCCCTGGGGCTACTTTTGAAACTTACACAGTATAAATCAACTATCATTCAGATCTGACATCCCTTCCCTTCCCTATATTTTTCATCTTTAACCCTTTAAGCAATTCTTCGGTGAAGACAAATAATCACTGAATGTTGGCTTAAAAAAAGGGTAGGTGATATGCATGGGTGGAAGACTTTCAACTAACAGTATTAGGAAAATGCTACAACTCTAGCAGGAAATAAGATCTAGAACATTCCGAAAGCAAAAAGATTGCTATAGAATGATTCCCATTATTTTAATGCCATGTAAGATGCTATTACAGAAACTGACAGTGCTCCAGTTCCAGCAATGCCAATGAAGGAAATAAAAATATTTCTCCCCAAAATATATGTTATATTTTCAGATCGCTGTTCAGAGAGCCAACAGAAGTAGCCTTGCAAAGTTGTCTTTTGTGGGGGAAACTTGTATTTGCAGAGAATCTGCTTGATGCAGCCTGGCTTTCCCTTGTCTGGATCTCGGGAAGATTAACTTAGTCTGACACTTTAAAGGTCTGAAATATGCTGGGACATGGTGGCTCACACCTGTAATACCAGCACTTTGGGAGGCCAGATCACCTGAGGTCAGGAGTTTGAGGCCAGCCTGGCCAACATGGTGAAACCCCGTCTCTACTAAAAACGCAAAATTAGCTTGACATGGTGGCGTGCGCCTGTAATCCCAGCTACTGGGGAGGCTGAGGCAAGAGAATTGCTTGAACCTGGGAGGCAGAGGCTGCAGTGAGCCAAGATCACGCCATTGCAATCCTGCCTGGGCAATAAGAGCAAGACTCCATCTCAAACAATAACAAAAAAGGTCTAACACATTCATCATCTATTCTTTTGAGGGTTGCCACCTGTGGAGCTTCATTTATGTAACAAGACCACCTTTGCTAGCCAGGCTTCCTCTTCTCCCGCTCCTGGAAACTGTCATGCCACTGATCCGAGTCCACTCTTTCTGTAACCTTAAGGTGGTATTTAAACTTCTAAACCCTATTGTGTAGGGGTTTGGGGGGATAATCACTCTGTGGCTCTCCCCTTCATGCAAGCTAATATATTGGTATGCCTTTTCTCCAATTAATCTGCCTTTTCTCAGTTGATTTTTCAGAGTGAACCTTCAGAGGGCAAAGGGGAAGTTTCCCTTTGGCCCCTACAGGAACCTAAGACCCACAGAGTGATGGAAAAAGGAAAGGCTTTGGAGCCAGGCAGGTCCAAGTTTGAATCCCAGCTGTACTGCTTATTCACTGAACAACCTCGGGCAAGTCACAGTTATCCTACTTAAAAACAGGATAACGTTAACTTCACAAAGTTGTTTCAAGGATTAGCATTAATGTAGAAAATCAACGCATCAGGCACTGAAAATCAACTCATCAGGCACTGAAAAAATGTATCAATGATCACATCCCGTTCCAGTTATGGACATAACTTTAAGACTGCTGCTAAATCCCAGGGAATGAGTTCTGCAGGAGCAAGCAGTTTTGGCCTCAAGTCCATATATTTTTGCCTCATGTTTCCCATTGTGTTTTGCCATTTGAACACATTTTCAGCACGTCTAGTGATTCACCTATAAACATCTTCTTTAGCTGGACCTCAGCCTGCATATACTGCGCATTCTGAAACTCACGAGAACAGTATCCTTGCTCCTCACATTGATTTTGGTCTTGTCTTCCACCTTTGAAAACAAGAGTTATGGTATAATACAATATTAAAGTTTTAAAGTACTAACTTTATACACAGCACTGCCCTCTAGTGACTAGAATAATCCATTTTTTTTTTCTTTTTTCTTTTTTTTTTGAGACTGAGTCTCACTCCATCACCCAGGATAAAGAGCAGTTGGCCGGGCGCGGTGGCTCAAGCCTGTAATCCCAGCACTTTGGGAGGCCGAGACGGGCGGATCACGAGGTCAGGAGATCAAGACCATCCTGGCTAACACGGTGAAACCCTGTCTCTACTAAAAAATATAAAAAACTAGCCGGGCGAGGTGGTGGGCGCCTGTAGTCCCAGCTACTTGGGAGGCTGAGGCAGGAGAATGGCGTAAACCCAGGAGGCGGAGCTTGCAGTGAGCTGAGATTGCGCCACTGCACTCCAGCCTGGGCGACAGAGCGAGACTCCGTCCCAAAAAAAAAAAAAAATAAAATAAAATAAAAAAAAAGAAGAAGGAAGAAAAAATAAAATAAAATAAAATAAAAAAAAAAAAAAAGAGCAGTGGCACGATCTGTGATCAGTGCAACCTCCGCCTCCCAGTTCAAGTGGTTCTCCTGACTCAGCCTCCGAGTAGCTGGGATTACAGGCATGCACCACCACGCCCAGGTAATTTTTTTGTATTCTTAGTAGAGATGGGGTTTCATCACGATGGCCAGGATGGTCTCAATCTCTTGACCTTGACCTTGTGATCCGCCCGCCTCAGCCTCCCAAAGTGCTGAGATTACAGGCGTGAACCACCACGCCTGGCCTAGAATAATTATTTCTAGTCATCTGTTCAGCTGCTCTCTGGGTAAAAATTAAAAATTCTGTCATAGATTGTTTTGAATGTATTGGCTGACATAAGATACATGGAAATCATAACTACAATGAGATACCACCTCATGCCCAATAGTAGTTTGAAGAACAATTTGACAATTCTTTATATTAAAGTTACACGATCCAGCAATTCCACTCGTGGAATTTAAAACCTGTGCACATAAAAACCTCTTCTATAATGTTCCTATTAAACAGTCAAAAAGCAAAAATAATCCAAGTATCAACTGATGGATGGGTAAACACAATGGAATATTATTCAGCCATAAAATAAAATGTACTGATACATGCTGTAAAATGGATGAACCCTGAAAACATGCTATATCGAAGAAGCCAGTTCCAAAGGACCATATATTGTATGAACTTATATGAAATGTCCAGAACAGGGAAATCCATAGACACAGAAAGTAGACTGGTGACTCCCTAGGACTGGAGGAGATAAATGGATTGACTGCTAATGGGGGTTTCTTTTGGGGGATGAAAATTGCTAAAAAAAATTGATTTGGTGATGGTTGTACAACTGTGTGGATATTCTGAAAACCACTGAAATGTACACTTTAAAAAGGTGAATTTTATGGTATGTGAATTACATCTCAATGTTATTAAAAAATGGAAACAAAAGTGTTGGCTGTGTTGGGATGGCCATTTAGTACTAACATGCTAGGTACATCTTCCCTTCAATATAACCTCCCTGGCCCCCAGCCCCCAAAGTCTTAAGAATTTGGCCTCCATAGTCTTCTTAATATTTCTTTATTTCTTACAATTTTTTTTTTACCATAGGCATGTATTATTCATATAATGAGAGGTAGATCCAAATTTTCAAGGAATAATCTGAACTTTTAAAAGAGGAACTGTACTTAAGAACACTAATAGAGGTTGGTTGACACCCTGAAAGACTGGTCTGTTATGTTTAACTGTGGGCCAGTCAGCTTCAAACTCAGGAAAACCTCTCACCTCAGTTGCAGGGGAAATGGGCAACAGTAATTAGAAGCTACTGGTGATAGGCTGGGCCCTGTGCTTAACTCCATCTATCATCTCCACCAACCATCCCATGTGGCATGTGTTACCACTATTTTATAGATCAGAGTTTACATAACTGAGACCAAGCATGCACATACGCCCCTCCCCTGAAACACAAGTCTCACTGAAGGTAGACCCAAGGTGCCACCTTGTGACTCAGATACTTAAGAACAGGGCCTAAAAATATTCATTGATAAAAGGTAGGTGTTCAAAGATGACCCAACTTCTATTTTCACCTTCAATAATTGTTACAGTTAAAATTCAGTGAGAAGCTGCTTCTACAAAGATATAGGTAGGGTTCTGTTATCCAAATGCAAATCTATCTAGGTCTGAATTCCTAAAAGTACAATCTTTTTTTTTTTTTCTGAGGTGGAGTTTTGCTCTGTCACCCAGGATGAGTACAATGGTATGATTTTGGCTCACTGCAACCGTTCAAGCGATTCTCCTGCTTCAGCCTCCCAAGTAGCTGGGATTACAGGTGCCTGCCACCACACCCAGTTTTTGTATTTTTAGTACAGATGGGGTTTTACATGTTGGCCAGGCTGGTCTTGAACTCATGACCTCAAGTGATTCGCCTGCCTCGGCCTCCCAAAATGCCGGGATTACAGGCGTGAGCCGTCATGCCTGATTTAAAAGTAGAGTCTTCAAATAACCTTCCCAATACTTTTTTCTTTTTTGAGACAGGGTCTCACTGTCTCTCAGACTACAGTGCAGTGGTACGATCTCAGTCTCACCATAGCCTCCAGCTCTCAGGCCCAAGCAATTCTCCCACCTCAGCCTCTCGAGCAGCTGGGTCTACAGGGCCAAGTCACCAAGCACAGATAGTTGTATTTTTTTTTTTTTGGTAGTGATGGGGTTTTACCATGTTGGCCAGGCTGGTCTTGGACTCCTGACCTCGTGATCCACCTGCCGCAGCCTCCCAAAGTGCCAGGATTATAGGCATGAGCCACCGGGCCCAGCCCACTTCTTGAATTAAAAAGCAAAAAACAAAAAAGCCAGGCAGATAATGAAAATCCTGCATACACTCAAGTCTGCATGAAGCATAAGGCCAAACTGGAAAGTGGCCATTTGAACAACCCTCTACCTGCTCCCTTCCCATAACTAAGATGGGCTTCTGGGCCTATAAACCATTCTTTGGTGAAAAGCAGCAATCCATTTCCCCAGAGGCTCTTTAACTACAGCATTGGTGTTTGAGGTTACATCTGTAAACACATATTTCAGGATTTCGGAGCTTCTGGAACCATAACTTTAACCCAGCCTTCCATAACAGTCTTTCTACTTTCTATTACAGAACATGACACTGCAATAATAGCAATGAACCGCTTCAGCTTTTTCACTTCTGCAGAAGCTAAAACAACTTCTCCAATATATAAAGGGGCTGGAAAGCTAATTTCCTGGGAAAGAAATACACAACCTGGCCCTGGCATTTTAGTTCCCAGGAGAGCTGAGATAAGTCCATTGATCAAAACTCCATGTACAATTGTATTTCCAAACTTGGTGTGTTTTGCAAAGTCTTCATTTAAATGCAAAGGATTGACATCCCCCGTTAATTCTGAGAAGGTAGCCACATCTGTCTGTGTGAAGGCCCTCCTAAGTTCAGCGCGGTCTCCAACTTTGATGTGCATATGCTGAAAGTGCTGCAGGGTCAGCACTGGCAGGTTCAGGCAGACTGTCCTCCGAAGCCCACCCCACCAAAAGCGATGGCTGGAAATTAGTGGGAACATCTTCAGCACCCACAAATTTCATCAAGAGCTTTTAGCCTGCTTCAGTCTTCAAACATGCAGGCACCAAAAAATAAATATGAGAGTGGAGGAATGTTTCCAAAATGGAAGACTATTCATTCAATCCAATACTAGTTCCCTACTATTACCAGATAATGCAAGGAGAAATGGAGAAACCTACAAGAGAAAGAAAAAGGTTAAAGCATCGGGAGAAACTCCACTGAAGCACAGGGCAATGGGGAAACATGCCCAGTTTTACAGGATTAACAAAACTGATGCAGGAGCATTTTACAGAGCATCCTGAGAGGAAGCCTTCAACGACAAGTAGTCACAGCTCAAAAAGAGCATACTAATATGTAACACACAAGGCATTAAGCGTTAAGTGAAAAATAAGCCTTAAGGATTGCAAGTTTTATCCCAAAACATCTCCCACAGAATTTAAAATCTAAGTGCTCTGGCTCACATTTTTGGAAACAAGTCCTTTATTTTCCCCTACTTAGATCATTTTAATCATATTACATTTATGCAAGCACAAAAATGAGTTTAGTGTATTAAGAAGCAGTCGACCCACCACTCAATCTTGTTTGCAATATGTGAGGGAATAGTCTTTACCTGAATCACCCGGAAAGCACATTTTTTGCCTTTATAGGATCCTAACAGGGTCAAAGAGCTCCACAATTTGACAAGGCCACTGCAGAAATATCAAGAAAATACACACTGTTGTCATAGGCAGACAACAAAATGAACCTCAACTAAGGTTTCTAAAATATTCACTTCTGACTTTGCAACTGTAACCATCAATGGGAAACTACAGCTGTAACCAAATCCTAAGTTTTGCCCTCTCTAGAGTACAAGTTTCTGGTGGATGAATGTTCATATTCACTCCAGTTTAAATTCCCAAAAGCTGCTCAGAGTTCACAACAAAAAAATTCTCATTCTCAGAAGAGCATTTTTGCTCTATTTCTCCATCGGTCTCTCTCTGCCCTGTTATACTATAAATGTCCCACTCTCTGTCATACCTGCTACATATTCTCAAGATGGCTGACAAGGTCTTCTCTTCATAGGTTAGTATGTCCAAAGGTAAGGCGGCATCAACCTGAATGTGGAATAATGCTATTAGCAGGCTATTCTCACCATTATTCTTGAATGCTTATCAACTTTTGACAAACATTGAGTTTTCAGCTTTTCTCCTCCACAAAAGCAGTATTTTATTTAATGGTGCTGGCGCTTTAGTTGCCTACTTACTTACAGCTCCCTCTGCCTAGCATGTTCTGCCTACACCTCTGCATATGGCTGATGTCCCTCATCCTTTGAGTCTTCATTTAAGTTGTTCCTTGACTGATCTTCAAGTTGAGACAAAGTCAGCTTGTTATGTTCTTTCTTGTACAGGACCCCACACCTTCTCTTTTATAATTCCCTTTATTCTTGTCACTAATTGTCTAACATGTTTTCCTACTACAAGAACCAAGACATCAGTCCATGTGGCAGAGGCCATGTCTGTTTGTTCACAGCTATATAAACCCCAGGAATGAGGTTTTCTACCTGACACACAGGTACACACAGACATATATATATATATATTTTAAATTTTGTATTTAGAAAAATTATAGACTCACAAGAGATCACAAAGAAATGTACAGGGATTGGCCAGGCACAGTGGCTCATGCCTATAATCCCAGCACTTTGGGAGGCCAAGGGGGGGTGGATCACCTGAGGTTGGGAGTTTGACACCAGCCTGATCAACACGGAGAAACCCCATTTTTACTAAAAATACAAAATTAGCCCAGTGTGGTGGCGCATGCCTGTAATCCCAGCTACTTGGGAGGCTGAGGCAGGAGAATTGCTTGAACCTGGGAGGCGGAGGTTGCGGTGAGGCAAGATCGTGCCATTGCACTCCAGCCTGGGCAACAAGAGCAAAACTTCGTCTCAAAAATAAATAAATTAATTAATTTTAAAAAAATGTACAGGGAGGTTCCATGCACTCTTCATCCAGCCTCCTGCAATGTCAATGTCTTGCGTAACTACATTACAGTAGTAAAACTAGAAAAGTGGTATTGGTACAATCCAGAGGTTATTCAGATTTTACCAACTGTGTATTTACTCATATTTATACCTGTGTGTGGCTCTATGTAATTTTCCCTATGTAAAATCCCACAGATTTTACCAATTGTATGTCTACTCATATTTATACCTGTGTGTGGCTCTATGTAATTTTACCAAAAAAAAAAAAAAAAAAAAAGACACTGCCAAACTATGTTCCAGAGTGGCTGCACTATTTTATATACTCACTATAGTGTATGAATGATCCAGTTTCTTCACATTCTTGCTAGCATTTAAAGTTGTTATTTTTTATTTCAGTCATTCTGCTAGGTATACAGTGGTATCTCATTGTGTCATTAATGTGCATTTCCCTAATGGCTAATGTTAAACATCTTTCCATGTGCTTCTTTGCCAACCATACATTCTCTTTAGTAAAATGTCTGTTAATGTTTTTGTTAATTTAGTAAAATGTCTGTTAATGTTTTTGTTAATGTTTTGTTTTGTTAAAGTATCAAAAATGAGTTTTGATACTTCTTTATTATTATTTTCTTGAGACAAGAATCTCGCTCTGTCACCCTGGCTGGAGTGCAGTGGTGTGATCTTGGCTCACTGCAACCTCTGCCTCCCAGGTTCAAGTGATTCTCCTGCCTTAGTCTCCCGAGTAGCTGGGGTTACAGGCATGTGCCACCACACCTGGCTAGTTTTTATAGTTTTAGCATAGACGGGGTTTTGCCATGTTGGCCAGGATGGTCTCCAACTCCTGACCTCAGGTGATCAACCCACCTCAGCCTCCCACAGTGCTGGGATTACAGGCGTGAGCCACCACACCCGCGTGTTATTATTATTGAGACAGGGTCTTGTTCTGTTGCCCAGGCTGCATGCAGTGGTGCAATCATAGTTCACTACAGCCTCGAACTCCTGACCTCAAGAAATCTTCCTGTCTTGGTCTCCCAAAGTGTTGGGATTATGGGCATGAGCCACTGCATCAGGCCAAATGTCATTTATATATTCTAAACACTATAGTCCTTTGTTGGATACATGGTTTACAAATATTTTCCCCTAGTATGTAATTCATCTTTTCATCCTTTCCCACCCCCACCCCCAGCCATGGTGGTGTGATCACCACTCACTGCAACCTTGAGCTCTTGGGCTCAAGCAATCCTCCCACCCCAGTCTCTTGACTAGTTGGGACTATAGGTGCACACCACCACACCTGGCTCAATTTTTCAAATTTTTTTTGTAGAGACGAGGTTTCACCAGATACCCAGGCTGGTCTGGAGCTCCTGGGCTCAACTGATCCACCCACTTGGCCTCTGGAAGTGGTGGGATTATAGCTGTGAGCCACCGCGCCTGGCCTTTTCATCCTCTTAAAGAGTCTTTTGCAGAGGCTTTAAATTTTGATGAGGTACTTAGCATATTTTGATTTGACAGACGATATGAATCAGAAAATAATTTCCTGAGCATCCTCTGTCTTCTCTCAACTTTTTTTTTTGTTGTTGTTGAGACGGAGTCTCACTCTGTCGCCCAGGCTGGAGTGCAGCGGCCGGATCTCAGCTCACTGCAAGCTCTGCCTCCCGGGTTCTCCTGCCTCAGCCTCCCGAGTAGCTGGGACTACAGGCGCCCACCACCACGCCCGGCTAGTTTTTTGTATTTTTTTTAGTAGAGACGGTTTTTCACCGTGTTAGCCAGGATGGTCTTGATCTCCTGACCTCGTGATCCGCCCGTCTCGGTCTCCCAAAGTGCTAGGATTACAGGCTTGAGCCACTGCACCCGGCCATTCTCTCAACTTCTAAAACTCTACTTCTCTACTTCTTTTCTCAAATCTGCTTAAAGTGTTGGTCTATGACAAAATAAGGAGTTGAATCAGAATGTAAACCAATAGTATCATTAATCACCGTGTTTAGTTCAGTTCATCTTTTTTTCATAAGGAGGTTTTTTTTTTTTTTTTGAGACAGAGTCTTGCTCTGTCGCCCAGGCTGGAATGCACTGGCGTGATCTGGGCTCACTGCAACCTCCGCCTCCCAGGTTCAAGCAATTCTCTTCCATCAGGCTTCCAAGTAGCTAGGACTACAGGCATGTGCCACGACGCCCAGCTAATTTTTGTATTTTTAGTAAAGACAGGGTTTCACCATGTTTTCCAGGCTAGTCTCAAACTCCTGACCTTACGTGATCCGCTCGCCTCAGCCTCCCCAAGAGCTGGGATTACAGGAGTGAGCCACTGCGCCTGGCCCATAAGGAGACTTTCTCATTAAAAGTGGTAGTGTACTGGTTCTGCTGCAAATTCCTTATCTCTTCAAGATGGGCAAAGAGTTTGCAGGTTGCCAGTCTAGGCCACACTTTGAGTAGCACTGTGCTACAACAAACATTTGTCTACCGTGTTCCTTGTAAAACAGAAGGCATATTAGAATAAACCCAACAAAATTCATCACCTCTGAAAGTTTATTTCTGCAATTTCAAACACAGTTTTAAAATAATCTCTAGGGGAATACAAAAATTAGCTGGGCGTGGTGGCAGGCGCCTGTAGTCCCAGCTACTCGGGACGTTAAGGCAGGAGAATCGCTTGAATCCGGGCGGGCGGAGGTTGTGCCACTGCACTCCAGCCTGGGCGACAGAGCAAGACTCCGTCTCAAATAAATAAAAAAATAAAGTAATCTCTAAGAGAACCCTCATACACTACTGGGAGGAATGTAACTGTACAACCACTATGGAGAACAGCATGGAGGTTTCCCAAAAAACTAAAAATAGGTCAGGTGCAGTGGCTCATGTTTATAATCCCAGAACTTTGGGAGGCCAAGGCAAGAGGACTGCTTGAGTCCAGGAGCCTGGGCAACATAGTGAGACTTTTTCTCTACAAGTAAAAAAATTGGCTTGGTGGTACATTTGCCTGTGGTCCCAGCTACTAGGGATTCTGGGGTGGGAGAATCACTTGAGCTTGGGCGGTTGAGGCTGTAGTGAGCCATGACCATGCCACTGCACTCCATCCTGGGCATCACAACAAGACTTCATCTCAAAAACAAAAACAAAAAACAAAATAGAATTCTAAAAATAGAATACTATTTAATCCAGCAAGTCTACTACTAAGCAGAAATCCAAGGGAAAGGAAATCAATTCAAAAAGACATGTGCAGCTGGGTGTAGTGGCTCATGCTGTAATCCCAGCACTTTAGGAGGCCAAGGTGGGAGAAAAAAAAAAAAAAAAGACATGCACTCTCACATTTATTGCAGTACTATTCCCAATAGCCAAAATATAGAACTTAAGCGTCCATCAATGGATAAAAAAAAAAGTGGTATGTATTACAATGGAATATTACTCAGCCATAAAAAAAAAAAATGAAATTCTGTCATTTCTAGCACCATGAATAGAACTGGAGGCCATTTTAAGTGAAGTAAGCCAGGCACAGAAAGACAACTGTTGCATGTTCTCACTCATACATGAGAGCTAAAAAAGCAGATCTTGCCAGGTGCAGTGTCTCACGCCTCTAATCCCAGCACTTTGGGAGCCCGAGGCGGGTGGATCACCTGAGGTCAGGAGTTCGAGACCCACCTGGCCAACACGGCGAAACCCTGTCTCTAGAAAAAATATAAAAATTAGCTGGGCATGGTAGCGTATGCCTGTAATCTCAGCTACTGGGGGGAGGCTAAGGCAGGAAGATTCCTTGAACCTGGGAGGCAGAGGCTGCAGTGAGCCGAGAATGTGCCACTGCACTCCAGCCTGGGCAACAGAGCAAGACTCTATCTCAAAAAAAAAGAAAAAAAAAAAAAGAAAAAAAAAAAAAAAAAGTAGATCTCATGGGGATAGAAAGTAGATTGGTGATTACCACAGGCTGGGAAGGGTAGCAGGGTAGAGACGATGAAGGAGGAAGAAAAGGAATACAAATGTGTTTATTACAATACATGAATAAAACATTTAAAAATAGAGTTGTATAATTAAAATTTTTTTTTTTAATGTTTGAAAAGCATTCTTTCTGTATTTCTGTATTTCTTTCTTTTTTTTTGAGACAAAGAGTCTCGCTCTGTTGGCTGGAGTGCAGTGGGGCAATCTCAGCTAACTGCAACCTCCGCCTCCCAGGTTCAAGCGATTCTCCTGACTCAGCCTCCCAAGTAGCTGGGATTACAGGCATGTGCCACCACACCCGGCTTATTTTTGTATTTTTAGTACAGATGGGGTTTCACCATGTTGGCCAGGATGGTCTCGACCTCTTGACCTTGTGATCAAATTGCTGGGATTACAGGCCTCCAAATTGCTGGGATTACAGGCGTGAGCCACTGCACCCAGCCTCTTTCTGTATTTCTTACAAAGATCTTTGGAATGTTCAATCTACCAAGTGATTCCATACCTCCCCAAACAGGTCCTTCACGGCCGAAATAAGCAGCTGTTTGAACTGTGCAGCATTCAGTCCAACTCCACAATCCTGAAATTCTCTAAAAAAACATGGAAAAAAAAAAAAGACATCATATTAAATTTCATTCTATTCAGATTGATGTTAGAAAAGTAATCTAAAATAGAACTTAGGAAACTAAACTTACAGGCAGACTTTCATGTAGTGGTACTCGGAAGGGTTTTTGTAAACTACTCTTTCATATGTGGCAGCAGGGGCAGGCATCTTTTCCAGTGCTGATCACACCTACAGTAAGTCAAGAGGGCTAGAAATGACCAATGCACATGCTATTTTTCACAGTTTTGATGAGAATTTGGCCTATTTGGGTTTTTTTTGTTTGTTTGAAGGCAGGGTCTCACCCTGTCATCTAGGCTGAAGTGCAGTGGTGCAATCACAGTTCATTGTAGCCTCCACCTCAGGCTCTCCAGGCTCAGGTGATCCTCCTGCCTCAGTCTCCTGAGTAGCTGGGACTCTAGGCACATGCCACCACATCCAGCAAATTTTTATATTTTTGTAGAGACAGGGTTTCACCATGTTGCCCAGGCTAGTTTCAAACTCCTGGGCTCAAGCAATTTGCCCACCTCAGCCTCCCAAAGTGCTCGCATTACAAATGTGACCATCAGGTCTGGCCTTCCTGTTGTTTTTGTTTTTTGTTTTGGAGGAGTTTCGCTTGGTCACCCAGGCTGGAGTGCAGCGGTGCAATCTTGGCTCACTGCAAACTCCGCCTCCCGGGTTCAAGCAATTCTCCTGCCTCAGCCTCCCGAGTAGCTGGGATTACAGGCATGTGCCACCATGCCCGGCTAACTTTTTTGTATTTTTAGTAGAGACAGGGTTTCACCATATTGGTCAGGCTGGTCTTGAACTCCTAACCTTGTGATACGCCCGCCTTGGCCTCCCAAAGTGACGGGATTACAGGCGTGAGCCACAGTGCCCAGCCGCCTGTTTGGTTTTTAAAAGACTTCTGGGCACAGTAACTCATCTAATTCTGGTCAAACTAAGGTTACCGATACGAAGACAAAAGAAGTTTCTATATTCTGTATATGCCAAATTACTATACTCTTACTTAAAACATAATAACATAATTTTGGCTAACAATTTTCCTTATGAGCACCCAGCTCTGTGCTAAACATTTCACATGCCTTAGCTTGTCTTCAAAATGCTCCTGAGGTAAGCGATATTATTATTCCCATTTTTGAGAAGATGACACAGAGGTTTAGTAAACGTAGGTAACATCTTTCCAAGGGTACCCAGAGATTCCAACCGCTCTGAGCTCGCTCAAGACCAGTTATGATGCCTCTTTATCCAAAGAAAAAGGCATTAAGGAGTAAAATCTTAAGATTTGAGGAGTAAACACGAAGATCCTCTTGTTTACTCTCAGTCAACACAGAACACAAAGAGAAGAATGAGGGGTGGTCGTTCTGCCATCTTCTCCCATCCTGGGTCTGCCTGCTCTCAATCTGAAAGCCAGGTCTGTGCAAGACTGTCTGTGAACGACTGAGCTTAAACAGCACAGGGGTTGAGAAGAGGGATTCCTGGAATGGGCACTCGACGCAGCTTCTAAAAGGTCTGAACTTTCAAGAACATAGAACATGCTCATCTCTCTGCAGACAGTTCCTTTCCTTGGCTCCCCGCCAACCTTGCTCTCCCCTGGACAGGTCCTATTCATCTTCAACTTTCAGTTTAAATGTCACCTCTTCATGGAGGTCTTCTCTGACACCCTGCTCTAAATTAAATCCCCATCTTATGCAATCTCTTAACACTGTCTATTTGTTTAATATATGGATCCCCCACTGCAGGGACCAGGAAACTGAGGCCCAATCAAGGAGAGACTTATCCAAGGTCACAGAGCTACAGACCAGCATTTCCAAAACCACTCTGGGTTAGACCCAATTTCAACCACCCCCAGATGGTGACCTCTGGAGAAAAGAAGTCAGGGTCAAGGAGCTACATCTACCAATCCATTCAACAAACATTAATACTTTGGGACCTGGCGTGGTACTCATGCCTGTAATCTCAACAGTTTGGGAGGCCAGGAGTTTGAGAACAGCCTGGGAAACATAGTGAGACCCTGTCTCTCAAAAAAAAAAATTTTTTAAATTAGCCAGGCATGGTAGTGTGTGCCTGTAGTTCCAGCTACTCCAGGGGCTGAGGTGGGAGGATAGTTTGAGTCTGGGAGGTTAAGGATACAGTGCACTGTGATTGTACCACTGCACTCCAGCCTGGGTGACAGAGCATCACCCTGTCTCCAAAACAAACAAAAAATACTGTAATACTATGACACAAAGTAGGTATTCAAATGAGGGAAAAGTGATAGTGTTAATCCTATATATTCAAAAGAATCCTTGGTTTCAGGACAGCGGCAATACTTACCTGATGCTTCTTTCCTAGTCACCAGAGTCTCCCCTAACTACAAGGTCAGGGCAAACAAGAAACCTCATCTGTTTCTTTCACTGCTTGGCACATAAATGTTTTTTTATTTTCATTCCCCTACTTTTGAGACGGAGTCTCGCTCTGTCGCCCAGGCTAAATGTTTTTTAGTGTTACTGCCTTGATGGAGCTGGCTGCCTAAAGTAGGGGAGTGAAATTACGCCCAGGGCTTAGATGCCAGTAAAATGAAGACTTACACAACGTCCACGAGATGGACAGTGGTGACGGCTGCACAGCGTTGTGAATGTATTCAATGCCACTTACGATAAATCTTATGTCACGTATTTTCTGCAATAAAAAAAAAAAAAAACTTACAAATGACAGCACTGCCCTCTGCAGGCTGTTCTGAGATTAAAGGAGAGGATGACTGGGAAATTCTTTTGTACAGACTGGTATTAAATATATTCACCACGCTCTCCACAGATGTGGGCTCACGAAGTCACTGTCACCATCATCTTTAAAGTCTTGTTGTTTGTTTTGAGATGGAGTCTCACTCTGTTGCCCAGGCTGGAATGCTTCGGGTCGAAGCAATTCTTGTGCCTCAGCCTTCCGAGTAGCTGGGATTACAGGCGTACGTCATCGCGCCTGGCTAACTTTCGCATTTTTAGTACAAATGGGGTTTTGCATGTTGGCCCAGGCTGGTCTCCGACTCCTGGCGTCAAGTGATCCACCGACCTCGGCGCCCTCAAAGTACTGGGATTACATGCATGAGCCACCGCGCCCGGGCTAAAGTCAGCCTTTTTTAGTGGCTGCACAGGGATGCTCCTAATCTAACCTACTGGTAATAAATCTTTGATTCCCCCTACTTCCCCGCTTCTCCAACTCTACGGTGGCCCGTGCGTCCATTAACATCTACTCAAACTACAACATTCCTCTGCTCAAAACCTTGCTATGTTTCCCGTTTTATCCGGAGTACGGCCAAAGTCCTTAGAACAGCCCGCAAGGATCTGCATGGAGGTTCCGCAGGGCTGCACCCTCAACACCTCTGACCTCTTGTCCTGCCATTCTCCCTCCGCTCAATCCCCGCCACCATACAGGCCTAGCCTAGTTCTTTCGCATGCGCCAGTCTCGCTCCCACCCCTGGGCCTCGGCTCTAGCTTTTCCCCATGCTGGGAAATCTCTTCCTCCAGGCAGCCACCAGGCTCACACCCTTGCCTCCTTCTTGGCTTAGCTCAAATCTCAATCGGTTTGGCCCATTGCCCTTCTCGGCTAACAACGCATACCCCCCATGCCCCGTCCCTGCTTTCTTTTTCGTGCATTTGCCTTTTTCTATGACTATTATGTAACTCGTTTATCTTTATCTGTACTCGCCCCCCATCCCAACAGAAAGTCCACTCCAAGAATCTTGCTATCTTGTTCACTGATGTTTCCCAAGGCCCTAAAACACTGTGTCGTGTACAGTGGACGTGCAACGTCCAGTTTTGGGACTAAATCAATCACTTTTAAAAGCTCAATTTCCCTACTGTTGAGAACTTGGGTGGCTTTCAGTATTTTTCTTTTTTTTTTTTTTTGAGACGGAGTCTCGCTCTGTCACCCAGGCTGGAGTGCAGTGGCCGGATCTCAGCTCACTGCAAGCTCCGCCTCCCGGGTTCACGCCATTCTCCTGCCTCAGCCTCCCGAGTAGCTGGGACTACAGGCGCCCGCCACCTCGCCCAGCTAGTTTTTTGTATTTTTTAGTAGAGACGGGGTTTCACCATGTTAACCAGGATGGTCTCGATCTCCTGACCTCGTGATCCGCCCGTCTCGGCCTCCCAAAGTGCTGGGATTACAGGCTTGAGCCACCACAACCACCGTTTAGCGCTCACCTCGCGCCGGGCGCACGGAGCGCGCTCAGGACACGGTTCCAAAGTCGCCCGCGCCTCTGCAGCCCAGACCCTGCGCGGCACCGTACGGAGGCACGCAGCGCCCGGGGCTGGAACGGACTAGCGGCCCAAGCCGGGCCGCCCGCCCCGCGCATGCGCCCGGGGCGCGGCCAACTAAGACGGCTCCCGAACCACCACCGCTCTTTGGAGGGCTTCCACCTACCCACTCTCCGTCGGACTAGCCTGACGCCTGCCCAGACTCCTATTCACTGCAAGAACAAGCCAAGGCTTGGAGCTCCCCGGCAGCAGCCAAACCTGGGGCCGAGAAACTCCTGGTGTCTTTACGTTTGGCTTCTCCTCGTCCCGCCCCACGAAGCGTGACGCCCAGGCGGATATGACGTCACCGCGCAGCGTCGTCTTAAAGACCCAGGCGCGAATCCTGATCCGGAGCTGAGAGTGGCCGAGCTCAGCGCCCTCTGGTGTCCACTCCGGAAAAGCCGTGTGTGCAGTTTGCTAAGGGTGCGGTTTAAGGCGTGTTTATTCCGCCTTGGACGGTGCTTCATAGTTATCCAGTTCTTAATGCATTCATTAATTCAACAATTGTTTTTTTTTGTTTTTTTGGGTTTTTTTTTGAGACAGTTTCACTCTGTCGCCCAGGCTGGAGTGCATTGGCGCAATCTGGCTCACTGCAACCTCCACCTCTAGGACTCAAGCGATTCTCCCACCTCAGCCTCCTGAGTAGCTGGGACTACAGGTATGCTCCACCATGCCTGGCTAATTTTTGTATTTTTAGTAGAGACAGGGTTTCACCATGTTGGCCAGGCTGGTCTCAAACTCCTGGCCTCAAGTGATCTACCCACCTTGGCCTCCAAAAGTGCTGGGACTACAGACGTGAGCAACTGTGCCCGAGTCATTCTACACAATTTTTTTATTATATTATAATTTATTTATTTATTGAGATGGAGTCTTGCTCTGTCGCCAGGCTGGAGTGCAGTGGTGCGATCTCGGCTCACTGCAACCTCTGCCTCCCTTCAAGTGATTCTTCTGCCTCAGCCTCCCAAGTAGCTGGGACTACAGGCATACACCACCATGCCCAGCTAATTTTTGTATTTTTAGTAGAGACGAGGTTTCACCATGTTAGCCAGGATGGTCTCGATCTCTTGGACCTCGTGATCCGCCCACCTCGGCCTCCCAAAGTGTTGGGATTACAGGCGTGAGCCACCAAGCCTGGCCTAATTTTTGTATTTTTAGTAGAGATGGGGTTTCGCCATGTTGGTCAAGCAGGTCTCAAACTCCTGACCTCAGGCAATCCACCCACCTTGCCTCGCAAAAGTGCTGGGATTACAGACGTCAGCCACCATGCCCAGCCTACAAATTTATATCTAGCATCTCCTCTCCTCAATATCTCCTATGTCAAGCACTCCCCAAAGATAGTACCCACTCTCAGTGTCCCTTGTGACTCCCAGCACATAGTATGTGTTCTATCTAGGCCGTCCTGAAAAGACCCACAAAGTAAAGACTTTGTGCTAGGCACTATGCAAAATATTTTACATGTGTTGTCTCATGGAACCCTCACACAATCCTGAGATGGCTATTCCTATGATCATCTCCATTTCAAAGGTAGAAACTGAGGCGCAGTGGCTCATGCCTGTAATTCCGGCACTTTGGGAGGCCAAGGCGGGCAGATCACTTGAGGCCAGGAGTTCAAGACCAGCCTGGCCAACATGGTGAGACCCCCATCTCTACTAAAAATACAAAAATTAGCCGGGCACGGTGGTGCACACCTGTAATCCCAGTTACTCAGAAGGCTGAAGCAGGAAAATGGCTTGAACCTGGGAGGCAGAGGTTGCGGTAAGCTGAGATCACACCACTGCACTCTAGCCTGGCAACAGAAAAAGAAACTGAGGCACAGAGAGGCTAAGTTATTTGCTCAAGATCACAGTTATAAGCAGTGGCATGGGCTGTCTGATTCTAGCCAGTGCTCTACACACTGCACTGTATTACCACCAATTGAGGGGCTGCAGTGGGAAGGGAAGCTTTAGTGTAAGCCCCAAAAGGATGGAGCCTTGTCTGTGTTGCTCACCACTGCATCCCAGTTCCTGGTACCCAATGGTGACCCAACATCTATTTACTGAAGGCATTTGTTCATAAATGGATGGGCTGGTTTTGCTTGGGTTGGGGGGCAAAGGGTTGCCTTGCACAGGACAGTTGAGTCAGCGGGGATCTCCTTCCTCAATTCTTTTCTCAAAATCCCACTGTGTTGTTTCCAGCAGCTTCAGTCCTTGACCTTGGCCATGCTCTCCAGTTCTGTGGTTCCTACTTTCTTCTTCCTTCAGAGGAGACAGGGCTTGTTCCAGATGTGGGAAGAGATGGAGAAAGCAAACACAGACCCCACAGAACCTGGCATTTTCTTTCTCAAAGCAGCTTGATTTCAGAAGCCGCCAGAACTTGCTTCAAATTCATCGTCTGCCACTTACCTACCTCCCTCATCTGTCACATGGAGAGATTATTAGCAGCTACCTCACAGAGTTGAGGGAAAAAGAGTTGATGGTGTAAAGTGTCTGGCACCCCAGGAAACCCTCAGTAATATGAGAGGGTTCCTGTAAGCCAGCTGCCTGGCAAACGTATCCTGCCAGGCAGCCCAGGAAAACCAGAGCAGTTCCTGCATTTTGAACTTCAAGGAACAATAGATAATTATCACCCTGCTGCAACAAACGCTGAAAATGCAGTGTCTTCCCAGTTGCCTGAATTCTCTCATGCTGTCTTATTAATTCAGAGTGGAGGATAAAAGAGAAACCTTTGAATGATAAAGACAGAAACCTTTTGTTTTTTTGTGTGGTGACTCAGGCCTGTAATCCAGCACTTTAGGAGGCCGAGGCAAGCGGAACACCTGAGGTCAGGAGTTCAAGACCAACCTGGCCAACATGGTGAAACCCTCTCTCTATTAAGAATACAAAAATTAGCTGGGTGTGGTGGTATGCACCCTACTCAGGAGGCTGAGGCAGAAGAATTGCTTGAGCCCAGGAGGCAGAGGTTGCAGTGAGCTGAGATCATGCCACTGCAATCCAGCTGAGATGACAGAGTGAGACTCTGTCTCAAAACAAAACAAAAAAACAAAACAAAAAAAACCTTTGTTTTTCAACTAAATTTTATATTAAAAAATTTTTTTTGGACAGTGTGTCACTGTCACCTAGACTGTAGTACAATAATGTGATCATGGGTCACTGCAGCCTCAACCTCCCAGGCTCAGCCAATCCTCCCACCCCAGCCTCCCAAGTTACTGGGACTACAAGTACATGCCACCATGCCCAGCTAATTTTTAATGTTTTTGTAGAAACAGGGTCTCACCATGTCCTCAGGCTGGTCTTGATCTCCTAGACTCAAGCAATCCTTCTGCGTTGGCCTCCCCAAAATGCTGGGATTACAGGTGTGAGCTGCCTCACCGTGACTAAATTTTATTTTTTGAATAGGTACTGTAGGCTTACAGCATACATTTCAAATGACATAAAGGGATAAATATTAAAAAGTGACTTCCACCTCTTCCCCTGTTAGCCTCTCCCCTCTCCAGGAGCAACCACTAGTATGAGTTTCTTAAGTGTCCCCTGAAAAATATGATAGGCTTTTCCCTCTTGACAACATATCTAAAATTGCTCCAGATCAAAACACACAAGGCTGCCTCAGTCTTTTTTTCTTTTTTTTTGGAGATAGGGTCTCACTCTGTGAAACTGACCTTCTCAGTCTTAAAATTTGAGAAAGTTACATTTGTCTTATCTGAGTTCCTTTCTCAGTAAACCAACCATGAGTCGTCCCAGATAGTATCAAGGAGCTGAAACTCACCAGATCACTGCATTTGGATGAGTCCAGACCCTTCATCCTTCACGATGGCCTGTCTCCCACGACCTGCTTTCTGTTGACTAACTCCCCTTCCTTATCCCTCCCTGATTCCTGTTTTCCTGCATGTAGTTATATTTCTGCTGTATAAACTCCTAATTTTAGTCAGTCAGGGAGATGGATTTGAGACTCATCTCCCATGTCCACAGCAGTAGCACGCAAAGAAAGCCTTCTTCCCTGGCAATATTCATTGTTTCAGTGATTAGCTTTCTCTTTGGTGAGCGGCAGGACCTAGACGCAACTGCTGGTGTTTTGGTAACAGATTCTGCTGAGTCTAGCCTCAGCTGGATCCCATGGGGAGTCCTGGAGCATAAATGATACTAAGGAAGCTTCCAGGCTTTGAGGCAAGGGGGCCAAGCCTTCACATTCCTCCTGTCATTGGCCGCCACCTATAGGGTTGCCAGATTTAGCAAATAAAAATAGAGGATAGGCCAGGCACAGTGGCTCATGTCTGTAATCACAGTGCTTTTGGAGGCTGAGGCAGGAGGATTGCTTGAGCCCAGGAGTTATTACTCGTTTGTGTGTGTGCAAATGCACAGAAATCCCAGTGGACTGACTGATAGGGGAAGGGTGGGGCTGTGCAGAGGGTGTAGGAGACTTTTTTTTTTTTTTTTTTTGAGACAGAGTCTCGCTCTGTCGCCGGGGCTGGAGTGCAGTGGCCGGATCTCAGCTCACTGCAAGCTCTGCCTCCCGGGTTCCCGCCATTCTCCTGCCTCAGCCTCCCGAGTAGCTGGGACTACAGGCGCCCGCCACCTGGCCCGGCTAGTTTTTTTGTAGTTTTAGTAGAGACGGGGTTTCACCGTGTTAGCCAGGATGGTCTCGATCTTCTGACCTCGTGATCCGCCCATCTCGGCCTCCCAAAGTGCTGGGATTACAGGCTTGAGCCACCGCGCCCGGCCATGAGACTCTCATTTTTTAAGCAATCTTTTTGTTTGATTTTTTTTTTTTGAGACAGAATTTCGTTCTTGTTGCCCAGGCTGGAGTGCAATGGTGCGATCTCGGCTCACTGCAACCTCCGCCTCCCAGGTTCAAGCGATTCTCCTGCCTCAGCCTCCCAAGTAACTGGGATTACAGGCATGCACCACTGCACCCGGCTAATTTGTTTGTTTTGTTCTGAGTCAGAGTTTCGCTCTTGTTGCCCAGACTGCAGTGCAATGGCCCGATCTCTGCTCACTTCTACCTCCACCTCCCGGGTTCAAGTAATTCTCCTGCCTCAGCCTCCAGAGTAGCTGGGATTACAGGCATGTGCCACCATGCGTAGCCAATTTTGTATTTTTAGTAGAGACAGGGTTTCTCCATGTTGGTCAGGCTGGTCTTGAACTCCCAACCTCAGATGATCTGTCTGCCTCGGGCTCCCAAAATTTTGGGATTACAGGCGTGAGCCACTGCGCCTGGCCTAATTTTGCATTTTCGGTAGAGACAGGGTTTCACCATGTTGGCCAGGCTGGTCTCGAACTCCTGACCTCAGGTGATCCACCTGCCTCAGCCTCCAAAGTGCTAGGATTAGGTGTGAGCCACTGCACCCGACTGTTTGATTTCTTTTAAAGTGACAGCATCATTTTGGTAACACTAATTATTAAATAAAAAATCAGGACCTGCTACTTACATAGTTAGGCACAAGAGGGAGCTGTGAGCCACATCACTCTGTTTTTTCTTTTTTTTTTTCCTCTGCAAAAACAAGCAAAAATACAGAATGCCCAGTTAAATTTGAGTTTCAGATAAATAATGAGTGGGACATCTTTATACTAAAAATGTATTTGTTGTTTATCTGAAATTAACATTTAACTGGGCAAACCGTATTTTATCTGGCAACACTTGGACGTGAGAGGAGAACAGGCATAGCCTTGCAGGCATCTCCAGTCATCTGAGGGTAGCTCAACACGGCAGCCAACCCAGCAGGTCGGGGTGGATGCGGGAGTCAGTAAAGGGGACCTGGGAAGGACATAAGTACACCCCTTTCGGGCAGGAACACTGGGGGCAGTGCACCAGACAATGGTAAAAGAAGACTAGAAGCCCTTTCCTAGACCATCAAAACCACCCCCATCACCCAGGGAACAGCGAGACAGCCTGGCCCTGCCCCAGCACCCACCCCTCTGCCAGCAGCTACTGGAGGACATCTTTTCTCCTTCAGTCATTCCCCTGCTTGTCTGCAGGTTATAGCTGGAGCCATGCTTTTTGACTTGGTCTCACCCAGCATTTCTGAACTGTATTTAAATGATGGAGGAAACTTTCCTTGGAAGTGATCTTAGAAACCTCTCTCCTAAAAAATGGCTCCAGGGCCCCAGGAAGGGAGATTTTGGGAGAGGGGATAACCACTCATGAAATGAAGCAGCCTGTTTCTGAAGGGGCCTTAAATCCTTTCTTCAAATTCAGAGCTCCTCTCCTGGGGGTTCAAAGAGGTCCTTACAAAGAGATTTGCACCCTGCTTTCTCTGGAGGACTCTGTATCCCTGTTATAGGAACCTGGGGCTCTGTGGGTTGGGACCTAGAAGAGCTCCAGGGAAAATAGCAGGAGGAGGAGTGGGTAACAGTAATGTCTAGCATAACCCCATTTGTGTTATTTAAAAAAAAATAATCCACAAAACCTACCAGTTTTACACTGCTTACCTGTATGTATGTGTGCAAATGCACAGGAACCCCAATGGACTGACTGATGGGGGAAGGGTGGGGCTATGTAGAGGGTGTAGGAGACTCTCCTTTTTTAAGCAATCTTTTTGTTTGATTTCTTTTAAAGCGACAGAGCATCATTTTGGTAACACTAATAATTATTAAATAAAAATCAGGACCTGCTACTTATATAGTTAGGCACAAGAGGGAGCTGTGGACCTATCTGTATGCTGCTCCTTCCACGTTGGAAGAAAAAAATGCTTCCTCAGCCCAACCTTAAGGCAGGAGAGCTGGACTTGGAAAGCAGGCTCCCATCCCTTATCTGCAATCCTAAAAAAAAAAAAAAAGAGAATCTGGAAACCAAATATCTTCACCCAGCGCCAATGCTTAATCTGAACTAAGGTGAGGCTTACAGCTTTTGTCCCACTTACTGTGGCTAGACATACACTGCATTGCAGAAATACGAATGCATTTATTTGATCATGTGTGGTGGCCCCAGACCCTGCAGAGGGCATCACATGATACATGGAATACACACTGTGATACCTTTCCAGGTTGGAACGCTTCTGAATTCGAATCACGTCTGGCCTGAGAGCTTTAGGGAGGGGCTGTCTTGGCAGCCACCTTTCCACTTGTCCTTCAGGAAGTCACCTGCCCCCAACCCAGCCAGCTTTGTCCTTCAGGAAGTCACCTGCCCCCAACCCAGCCAGCTTTGGCCTTTGGTCATTGGAATTGTTACCCTCTTACTGCCCCTACAAACCCTTCCTTCTTCCACCCGCTGCTGCAGTTCCTGGTGTGGCCTCAGATGCCTGTTCATTGCCTTGAGGATTTAAAGACCAGAGATCCAGAAACCAATGAAGGGAAGGTTCCTCCAAGAGCCAAGAGAGAGGGACTGTCCTGTTGCTGAAAGGAGACCTGAGCAGTCACTTGTCCTCTCCCTCTGCCAGACTAGGCTGATGAGGGTCACAAGACTCTCCTCTCACTGCCAGCACAGGCAACCCCAAGTCCACACCCTGGTTGGTACCAGCCCCAGGGAGCAAATACTGGGCCCCAGAGCCCTGGGGCAGCTGGGGACACCAGAAGAGCCAGCCCCAGGACTGTCACTTGGCAGATAATTTGAGGATATCTTCACTGCCCTATCTGTGACCAGCCCTGTCCCTCCAAAAAAACCCTCTACTTTTTTGTCTCCTTTCAGGAAATGGAGAAATTGTAAGAACAGCACCCAATTTGGGGTTGGGGAGGGAGAAAAGGCTGATGAGAAGGTCCAGTCTGTGGTTAAAGGGTGATGCTGGGCCGGGTGCGGTGGCTCACGCTTGTAATCCCAGCACTTTGGGAGGCCGAGGTGGGCGGATCACGAGGTCAGGAGATCGAGACCATCCTGGCTAACACGGTGAAACCCCATCTCTACTAAAAATACAAAAAATTAGCCGGGTGAGGTGGCAGGTGCTTGTAGTCCCAGCTACTCGGGAAGCTGAGGCAGGAGAATGGCGTGAACCCAGGAGGCGGAGCTTGCAGTGAGCCCAGATCGCACCACTGCACTCCAGCCTGGGCTATATAGCGAGACTCCACCTCAAAAAAAAAAAAAAAAAAAAAAAAAAAAGGGTGACGCTGGAAGAGCTGAAAGGTGATAGCTCCTCCAAAGCAGCAGGCTGGGGCCTGCACGTGTTAAAATCTACAGCCACCATTTTAGAACAATGTTAGTTACCTAAGCAACCCACGATCCTAAGAACAATATCCAGGGCTTGGAAAGTAAATAAGGTGGCCTAAATGCAGCATTTATCTATAAATATTAGACCCCAAATTTGTTTGAAGGCAGGTATAGCCCCTGGCCAGTAAGCAATCCCTCTAACAGGTGCCTGGGCAGACCCCCGCAGAGCCTCAGGGCTGGCTTCTGAAGTGGCAGCTAGGAGCAGCCACATATTTTTTTCTTTTTCTTTTCTTTCTTTTTTTCTTTTCTTTTCTTGAGACAGAGTCTTGCTGTGCTGCCCAGGTTGGAGTGCAGTGGCGCAATCTTGACTCACTGCAACCTCCGCCTCCCGGGTTCAAGCAATTCTTGTGCCTCAGCCTCCCCAGTAGCTGGGACTACAGGTGTGCACCACCATGCCTGGCAAATTTTTTGCATTTTTAGTAAAGAAGGGGTTTTGCCATGTTGGCCAGGCTGGTCTTAAACTCCTAACCTCAGGTGATCTAGCCGCCTCAGCTTCCCAAAATTCTGGGATTACAGGCGTGAGCCACTGTGTCCGGCCAGGCCACATCTCTTGACTGCTTTCCATGCCAGACCCCAGAGAGGCAACGAGACTGAGCCGAGACTTCTCCCAAAGCCGAATATTGTTGGGAACAAACAACACTCATTTCCAGAGTATTGGGGGCGGGGAGAGGGTATCAGCAAGGTGAATGAGCCCTTCCGAAGTAGATGACACTCTAGTCCTGGTTATTAAAGAGGCAGGAGTGGAGAGGGCACGCTGTCCCTGGGTATGTCCTTAGCAGAATGATGTCGGAATCCAGGTGAGTTCTGTTTCCTGTCCAGCAGGAGGCTGGGCAGTTGGAAGTCCTTAACTATGATAAATGAACAACCGGGTCACCTTCTTCAATGGGGGCTCAAGCCAGGAGGTGTGGCCCCAGCAATCTACAGCTAAGGCTGCCACACACTGGCCTGGTCCAGGTGAGCCAATGGGGCCCCAGGCGGACTGGTAAGTTATGAGGGAGAGCTCCTGCCTGAACAGGTAAAAGCATTGTTTTTACACATTGCCTTGAGTTATACACTGAGAGGCTTCCCTTTCCTCGTAAGCTATGTGACCTTGGGCAAGATTCTTCACTGCTCCATGCCTCGGTACCTCTGCTGTAAAACTGGCATGGTGTCATACGTACAGCGCTGCGTGAAAACACTTAGAATAGCCCCTGGCATATACTTACAAAGTTTAGTCCTCCAGCCTGGCCTGACATAGGTTCTGAGAATTTCCTCTGGGCAAAGCAACAAGGTTCCCCAGGATGGGGAATATTCACTGGGGCTCAAATGGAAGATACAGGCTTACACAGGCAGTCTCATCAGTTTGATGCATTTGTTACATCAATCACTCCTAGTGTTACCTCTGTCCAGGACAAGGAGCCCAGACTGACTCCAAACTGAGTTCTCACCGTTACTTGTCCCTCTTCAACACCTGACCAGAAGGGTCTGCCCACAGCAGCCCCGAAGGCCCCAACTCCAGGCAGTGGGATTGAGAGCCCAGCTGCAGCTGTGATTCCTGGGGCTTTCCATTGTTATTTCAGAAGTTCCTGGCAGTCTTTCAGGGGGTGCTGTGATGAATGAGTACTTTCTTCTTCCCGACTGTCATCAAAGGCACACACCATAGAGCACAGCGGGATGTGGCATGGGGGACTCAGAGCTGGCAGTAACCAGCAGGCTTGCTATGGTCACAGAGGCAGGAATTGAGACACAAGAGTCTTTCTTCTGAGCATGGCCAGAATTGCAGAACCAAGCAAGAACCTGAAAACCCACCTTATCGTTAAAAAGGACTCCTTCATACTCTCTGCTCACAACTTGTCGTAAGTGCTTTCTGGTGACAGCAGAGGAGATGGAAGCTGTGTCCAGCTGCAGAAACTGCCTACTGTCCTTCTGGGCTGGGCTGGATGGCACACACCCTGCCTGAATGACCCCATGGTGGGCACAGTTCAGGGACTGCTTTTGATGTCATCTTTAGCTGGTATTCAACCCAGAGCATAAGAATTCCTGTATCCACTATGGTTTCTGACCTGAGGTGCTTATCCCAGGTCTGGGGCTTCTTCAGTGACCCTGAGGAAACTGTCTCTCATCACCTAGGCCCACCAACACTGAACCCCTCTCCCACTATACTCAGAATTCTTGGTGAATATAGGAAATGGGAACAAATAAAATGTCTAATATCTACTTTCTTTTCTACTTCATTGATTTTTGTTTTTGTCTATATTACTTCCCTCTATTTTTCTCTGGCTTTGATACTATTTATTTTCTCATTTCTTGAGATAGAAGCTCAATGTATTGATTTTTCTTTCCTTTTTTCTTTCTTTTCTTTTCTTTTCTTTTTTTTTTTTTTTTTATAAGAGATGGGGTCTTGCCATGCTGCCCAGGCTGGTCTCAAACTCCTGGGCTCAAGCAATCCTCCTGCCTTGGCCTTCCTAGGTGCTGGAACTACAGGTGTGAGCTACTCCACCTAGCATCTTCCCTTCTAATATACGTTTTGAAGCCTATAAATTTCCCTTGGAGCACTGCTTTAGCTGCATCCCAGCTTGATGTCATATTTTCGTATCTTCTTCTTGTTTTTAAGCTCTAAGTTCCATTCTTCTCTGGTAAACTAAAATATTCAAACACAGTCCTGAATTCCAATTTAAACTATAAAGTTTATCTCACCTTATTCCCAGAATGACTTGGATGTAGATTTTCTGTAAAAAAAAAAAATTGGAAAGAGTGAAGCTCCTGGGGAGTTTAGGGCTCCTAAATCCTATAGAAGAGAGTCAAAAAGAATAGTTTGATGACTCTTGCCTTTTGTTTTTGATATACAATTTCCAGTGAATGATTTTTTCTTTTTTTTTTTTGACATAGACTTTTGTGCTTGTTGCCCAGGCTGAAGTGCAATGGCACAATCTCGGCTCATGGCAACCTCTGCCTCCCGGGTTCAAGCGATTCTCCTGCCTCAGCCTCCAGAGTAGCTGGGAATACAGGCACCCGCCGTCGCGCCTAATTTTTTGTATTTTTTCTTTTTTAGTAGAGATAGGGTTTCACTATGTTGACCAGGCTGGTCTCGAACTCCTGACCTCAGGTGATCCACCCACCTCAGCCTCCCAAAGTGCTGGGATTACAGGCGTGAACCACTGCACCCAGCCTTAAAAAACACATTTTAGGCCGGGCACGGTGGCTCAAGCCTGTAATCCCAGCACTTTGGGAGGCCGAGATGGGTGGATCACGAGGTCAGGAGATCAAGACCATCCTGGCTAACACGGTGAAACCTCGTCTCTACTAAAAAAAATACAAAAAACTAGCCGGGCGAGGTGATGGGCGCCTGTGGTCCCAGCTACTCAGGAGGCTGAGGCAGGAGAATGGCGTGAACCCGGGAGGCGGAGCTTGCAGTGAGCCCAGATCACACCACTGCACTCCAGCCTGGGCGACAGAGCGAGACTCCATCTCAAAAAAAAAAAAAAAAAACCACATTTTAAAGTTAACAGAAAATGTGCCAACATTGCACCTAATTAGGAGTTCAGAAACAGAAACCACCTGCATGTTGCTGATCTAGACTTATTAAATTTATTTCATGTCACTGTGGTCACTTTTACAGCTGTTTAGACTTATTTTTAATCACATTACTCTTCACAGAATTCACAGAATTCATTAACAAACTAGTATGTTACATCCAAGGGTTCTTAGTAGCACACCGAAATAGAAAAAGAGGCCCACGAGTTGTTGCTTGTGTGTGGAACCTGAGTCTGATTACTTAGACAGATGTCTGGAACATTATTGCTTTATTAGGCCTATTTTTTAAAATAATAAATTATCCCTAGGAAACCCACCCTGCCAGGTGCTCATTCTGTGACTGCTGTGGGTTCACTGAGAACATACCTAACTCGTGGGTGCTGAATGAACCACCCACCCATGTACCCTGCTGCTCCAGCGGCTGGAGCAATGCCCCTCCATGCATGTAAACATTTTCTACAGCTTGCCACTTTCCTCCCTGGTCTTGCAGCCAATGGGCTGCAGTCATACATGGGTCTCTATGTAAAATTTAAATTAGACCTAAACAACAGGGTTCGGCGAATGAGGACTGATGCTCCTATAAAAGCCACTGCCCATGCAAGGGAATACACCTGAAGCAACAAAAATATCTTGAGTCTCCAACTATAAGGAACGTCTCAAAGAAAATATCCTTGACTTAATTACAGTCCAAGGTGGCTGCTTTGCACAAGCTTGTCAGTGACATGAACTTGAAGACTTCATGGTAGATTTCATGGCTAGGGTTTCTTATTTTGTTCCATATGAGTTTCTATTTTGTGAAAAATATCTTGGAGGTTTTCGCGTGGTCCCCAAAGCTCTGGGGAACTGTGGATACCAGGGATAAGGAACTGGCTTCCTCAGGGTCACTGGCGCTCCGACCGCATTTGGGGCAGGATCCCTGAGAGTGGTGGCCGCGTCAGACTTGGGGGATGGGAGCGGGTGCTGTGTGCAGAATGCAGGCTGCAGTCAGGGCCTCAGTCCAGCTTCTTGTTGTTGTCTGTGTTGTGCACAGAAGCTAAAAAGTCGATTATGAGCTTGGCTGTCTTCCTGGGTCTCTCCATCACTACCGAGTGCCCACAGTTTTCCAGAAGCTCCACCTGGCAGTTGGCAATTGACTTGGCCAACAT